GGGGGAAATCATAGGGGTCTCAGAGCAAATTTAAAAAAAAAAAAATGTTGGCAGTCACAAAAAAAAAATTTAAAATCTTATTATCCTTCGATCATTTGAAGATAACTTTTTTTCCCTCGTCTTATTAAAATATCTTATCCCGGGGGCAAGAGTCTTTACTATAAAGCGATTGCAATTTTCCATTTTTATTCGAATAAGGGGCAGACAAAAGAAAACTGTTGGGAATGGAATTATAAAAAAGCTCTCGAAAGATTATACTTTGCTACTTTTTTTTACAGCAAGGGGGATTTAAAGAGCGTTAAAAAAGAGCACACAAAATTGATTTCAGTATAAACAACTATCAACCGTGACAGAATAGAATAAAGTAAAATATTATTTTACCTGACATAAAGAGGAAAAAAAAAACTTTAAAATTTTCTTTGCACTCGCGAAGCGTTAGTGCCATAAGATTTAACAGTTCGGAAAAGTTTGGTGGGTTTAGTTTTGACTAGTTACAACAACCGCTAATAAATATTATTTTCATTCTTGTCATGACGGGCATATAAATGAGCACCTAAAATTATTGTGGCATTTTAGCTGTACTAGCTAGCATACAGCACCCGGCCAAATCACTTGACGCACTCTAAGATTATATCTAGAATCTTAATTGTTTTAATCTGGCTTTAACAGGTCTGCACTTGTTTAAGCTCCTGTCACAATGGGTTCACATTGTAAAGCAATACGTTAAAAATAAATACACATAGGAAGTACATGAAAAATCTCCCGAATAAACACCCATGACATGTATGTCTAAATATAAAAGTATGGCCTATAAAAGCGTAAAAGTATGGCCTATTAAAGCATTATTAAAACACTACAGTGCGGCCAATAATTGGCTCTGATTATTATAATATACTCATATAATGATTGATATAATAAGTATTCTATATTTATATAATATATCGTCTCGTTTATTCAATTGTCGAATTTATATTATAGATCGTCTCATTTAACCCATTGACACACGAAGTGCAAACCGGTTTCAGTCACGCAAAAACAATAAAGCTGTATAGAGTATCACCTGATAACTGAGATTCTACATAGAATCTTAGAGTGCGTCTAGTAATTTAGTCAGGGGCTGTATATTCTTCATTAGAAAAAAAAATGTTAAGAAACAAAACGAAAATAGTCTTAAGAAAACAAGGTGATCCTCAGAGCAATAAATCTTTACCTTTAGAGTCCAGACTCTTAAACGAATACATAAAACTTACGAAGATGCCTTTAAAAGAACTCTTTTACTTTTTGCAAGTTTCCAGGAGGCCTCTAAGCCTAAGCGGTCTTGCCATTCAATCTGTTGCGTAGAGGGTTCGAATCCCGCTATTTTATCCCTTAAATTCTTCATCAGCTATAATTCTTTCACCAGGTGTTGGCCCCCACCTACTCGGACGCAGAGTTCATTTCTGCTGGGGAGTAACAGGAGAAACGTCTCCGAGCTTGAAAGTGAGACCAAACAGTGAAATCTTTATCATCTGCTATTAAACCTTTCGATACCCTAGCTAATAAAATATATTTTAAATTCTTCTCCAGAAAAACACTCTAAAGAGAGGAATATCATGAATTATTTAATGCACACTAATTGTCATACCATCGCCCAATAGCAGCCTTTATCCAAGTACCACGTGATGGAGAACAAACTATAACAGGATTTGATTGACGTCAGGGACTCCATAGACAGTATTGTCGCACTTTACAACAAGGTAATCGGAATCAGCTCCCTAGCGACCTAACATGCGCACACCACTAAGGGTCCCATACGATGGAATCATTCTATCCCACTGTAATCGATTGAGTTGATATTGGAGGGCAGACTGGGATAGCCTGGTTGGTAGGGAGATCATGGGTTCGACTGATGCACGTTCAATCTGTTGGGTCACAAACTCCCCCATGTTTCTTAAACAAATCTCTGGGGGTACAGGAACTCTTCTGGACTGGGATCAAAATGACAGGAATACGGAGTCGAAAATGGGTTGTCGTAAATACAGTTGTTGAAAGATGGTTATAAAATAAAATAAGATATCGTCTTTCACTAACTGGCATTATTGATCTTTAATGCAACAGGTTGCTTCTTCAAAATGAATTGCAAAATAATATTAGATAGGCCAAGAAAGCTAAGAAACTATTTAAAAAATATGTGTGCGAAGGCTGTTTCATTAGATTCTTAAAATGAACTCACCCTAACTTACAAAGTAGTGAGCTCACTATTAAACTGCGTTAATGGCGCTTAAAACTTAATTAGATATTGAAATAAAATTCTAAACAAAAGCCATGCACATGTCATAGTGTTTCTCAATAGTCTCTCCGTCACCATGGTTACGAAAATCATTCTTTTTCACCAGGTCAGGCTATAACCCTTTTCTTAATGAAATAAATATACTGCCTTGAAAAGAAATGCAAGATTTTCGTAACCATGGGAGCGGAGAGGGGAAAAATTGTGGAAAGTAATTTAGAAAAAAAATAAGTAATTTTGTGGCGTCCATTCTAATTGCAATTACATTCTAAAAATTTCACATAAGTTAGTTAACTCACTGACTGATTTGCACGCAACGTTTCAGTCATGTCTTGTTCTATGATGGAATCGGCATCACACTCAATTACCTAGAATTTCAAATCTCCCTTCCTTTCCAAACATTTAAAAAGCGAGGTCTTGTTCCTTAAAAGAAGAGAAACATCAAAAATTCTCCAAGTTTTATTTTATTGTGAAATGTAGCAAATAGTGCACTGCCGCGCAATAGCAAAATCAACGTAAGCAGCAAAAAATTCGAAATTGAGATTTTTATAGACAGTCCCTGGCCCCATTATGAGACCCACTCTAAGATTCTATGTCAAATAATAATTACTCAGGTGATACTCTATACAGCTTCACTGTTTTTACTCGAATGGCATTTGTTCACGGCTACTGCATCAAAAATAAATACAAATAGGAAGCATACGAAAAAATCTCCGGAATAACAACCCATGACATGCATGTTTAAATATAAAAGTATTGCCTATAAACTCGTGCAAAACATATCATTATTAAAACACTACATTGGGCTAATTATTATAATATTCTCATATGATGCCTGATATAATAAATAGTCTATATTTATATAATATATCGTCTCATTTATCCTCTCGTCAAATTTATATGATATATATCGTCTATTTTAACCTATTGATATACTAACTTAAACAAGTGCAAACCGGTTTCATCCACGTACAAGCACTAAAGCAGTATAGGTATCACGTGTATAGTTAAGATTATACATAGAATCTTGCAGTGCGTCTCCTAATATGGCCAGGAGCTGTATTTGGCATTTTTGTATGCTACACATTTGCTAAAAAAAGATTTTTCATAAATGATGTTTCATAAATGACACTTCATAGATGACGTTTTCATTTTTTCATAAATAAATAATATTTTTTATCAGTTTTTAAAGAATTCTATAGAAAGCATCAATAGAAAGCATCGATAGAAAGATAATACTTTTCCTGAAATACATCGTGAAGCGATTGTTTTTTTTTTTCAATTGCAGAAAAGTGGGCTTGCATTTTATAAGTATTGCGATTATTTGTGAAACTTTTATTGCAAAATACGTCTAGTTATTTCTTTAAAAGTTCTGGTTTAAAGCAGCGCTCAAGAATAATGGAATTACGATGAAGTACAAACATATTTTAAAAAAAGTTAACGATATCACTTAGGATACTTATTTAAGGTTTTCTTGGCTTGTATTGTAATCTTACAAAATAGAAAACTGTTTGCTCTGGTATATATTAATGCCTTGACCGAAAAACTTGAAAAAAATAATTAATTGTAGTAAGTAAGCATTCTAAAGTGACGATGTCAAATTAAAAACACCCTATTAAAGTAATTAATTATTCCGTATAAGCTTGGTAAACACTGATGTAAGAGAGTCATTAATTCCAGCAAACGCGATGAAAATTTCCAAAATTTAAGGTTTTTCTTACAAAATTAAAAAAAAAAAGAAGGTGTCATTGAGTTCCATTAAAATGCCGCTTAATAAACATTATTAAGGAAATGTAATAAATAAGAATCGACTCAAAATGAATCAAATAGAGTGGATTTCATAAGTTTCTGGAATTTCCACTACACAACATATTATTGTTTACATAGAAAATACATTCCTGAAAGAAAAAATGTGGCTTAACATTTTATTACTCTTCTTTTATAAAATGCTAACACTAAAATAGATATTGAACAATTTATTCTTCAGTTCATACTAATTATGTGAGTGGTAATATTGCTTTAGTATTTAAAACTTTGAAAAAATGATATAACACTCCCCGGCTATAGACACACTCTAAGATTCTATGTAAAATTATGTATATCAGGTGATACAGCTTCATTGTTTTTACTCGGATGATTTGCACTTGCTGATGCTCCTCTATCAATGGGTTAACATTCTAATGCAATACGTTAAAAATAAATATACATAGGAAGTCTATAAAAAAATATGCCAAATAAAAACCCATGACATGTATGCTTAACTATAAAAGTATTGCCTATAAACGCGTGCAAAACATGTCATTATTAAAAAACTACAGCGTGTCTCATCATTGGATCTCATTATTATAATATGCTAATATAACGCTTTATGCAATAAATATTCTTTATTTATACCGTCTCATTTATCCAATTGTCGATTTTATATTATCTATCATCTCATTTAACCCATTGATACGTAAGCAAGTGCAAACAGTCACTCAAAAACACGAAAGCTGTATTTGCATAGAATTTTATACTGCGTCTAATAAATTGTCTGTAAGACTCTGAAGTATAATCTAAAGCAAATTTGGGTTACTAAATAATGTTTTTTTTCTGAAAGTAAAGAATGAGTATATATATATACATGCTTTCTTTTTACAAAAGTATACTATTTCAAATTGTATTATTAAAATAAAATTAACTTGAATTTTTATAAAGGCAAAACATTTTGTTTCAAATTAATTTATATCTCACTTTATAATAACTGCTTTGTTTTTTTTAATGATATTTTAAGCGCACTATCGTTAAGGCATTTTAAAAGTAACACAACATTTTATAAAAAGGAGAATGTTAGTAGATGACACACACACACGTATATTCAACAAAAGCTACAGGATGGTGCAAAAACAAGTGTTCTTCTTCGGAAGCAAAACTGGTGGAACAAATTGCATTATATTCTTGTCATCTATCTTGATAAATCGTCTCAGGCATGTTCAGACAAAGAAGAATATATTTTCTTTAACGAAAACTATTAGCTGTTATTGGATGCGAGTCTATGCTATTGTCTAGGCAATAATTAAGAATAGAGAATAAAACAGATTTTCGTATTCTGTTTTTTGTTCATACCTTTTGAGTGCCTCCGTTTCTTTAAATCGAATCCCATTTTCAGGATATACTATTACGAAAATGCGATTCTATTGCAATGTTTTAAGCTTTATGTGACTCGAGTCTTGTTCAAAAAATTCTGTTTTCACCTAATTGATACCTTTTACTTTATAAGCTGTGTTTTGTTTTTGCTAAAATCCCTAAATCGAATCCCATTTTCAGGATATACTATAGAGAAATCGGAATTAGATTCAAAACTTAAGTCTTAAACTTATAATTTGTTTCACTCGTGTTTTGTTCAAAAGGTTTGTATACTTCAAACTGATACCCTTTACTGCATAAATTGTTCGAGCTAAAATCTCTAAATCGAATCTTATTTTCAGGATATAGTATTAGAAAAATGGGTTTCGATTGCAATGTGCTAAACTTACTGGACTGGTCAAAATGTCAGTTTTCTTCTTACAGATACTGCCTAAAATACGTTCAGTTCTTACTAAAATCTCTAAATCAAATTTCATTCAAAGGATCACAAAAATTCGATGGCAATGTCCCAAACTGATTTGGTTCGTTGCCCTGTTCAGATATGTTCTTACTGATACCCTTCAGTGACCATAATTGCTTTCAGTTCTAACTAAAATCTTTAAATCGAATCCCATCTAATGCATAGAAAAAAATGAGACTCGATTGTCTGATCCGGTCTATGAAGTATGGCAGCATATCTGACAGCCGTTTTAAATAAAGGGAATGAAAACATAATGAGACATTAAATGCAGATACTTTACTATGTTATTTAAAATGGTTTTCATACAGGGTTATTCAGTGCAGCAGTGGCGGAATCAGAAGCATTGTACTTCGCTGGAGATACAGCCCCAGGCCATACTATTAGACGCACAATAAGATTTTATGTAAATCTTAATTATCAGGTCATACTATACAGTTTTATTGTTCTTACACAGATGAAACCGGTTTGCACTTGTTTAAGCTCCTGCATCAATGGGTTTACATTGTTATGCAATACTATAAAAAGAAATACAAATGGGAAGTATATAAAAAATCTCCTGAATAAAAACCCATTACTTGTATGTTTAAATATAAAACTATTGCCTATAAACTCGTGCAAATCATGCCATTATTAAGACACTACAATGCGTTTCATCATTTGATCTCATTATTATAATAGACTAATATAATACCTGATATAATAATAATTACTCTATATTTACATAATATATCGTCTCATTTATCCAATCGTGTAATTTACATTATATATCGTCTAATTTTGCCTATTGATACATGAACATCCGCAAACCGCTTAAAAAGAATAAAGCTGTATAGTATCACCTGATCATTAAGATTTTGCATAGAATCTTATAGTACATCTAATAATTGGGTCAGGGACTGCAGATGTGTCCTTTCGTGCAATGGTACTTTTATCTAAATTACCTTAAATTTTTGGATTTTAATAACTATTAGCAAGCGAACTTTGCATTCAGTTAGGCTAAAAAAACAGCTGTTTTATAGTAGTCGACAATAATTGTTCAAAAATATGAGGTCATTTAGATAAATACATCAAAAAGGAAAGCCTCCCTAACAGCCTAGTTTATTAGCCGCTGTACTGAATCATCCTGTATAGAGAGTTTTTGTACCATCCTGAGCGAACATTTTGATGCAATGAGAATGTTTCCTTAGGAATGACTCGGCATGAAAATAGTTCCAAAAAAGCTGGGTTCGAGATGATGGAAGCAAACAATGCAAGTTAACATACACACACAGGAATGTTAGTACTAGAATGAGTTTTGATCCCAAATGGCAAATAAATTAAGTTCAGGCTTTTTTTTTCTGGACTATTAACAGAGCTAGACGCTATTATTATATTTTTTGTTTGTTTGTTTTAAAAATAAGAAAGTGTTGATCCCTGCGTTGGAGAGTAGCCTTCAGAAACATGCAAAAGCATACCTTCCAGTTACAGTTAAAGTGACGCAGCTGTGTTATCGGATTGGTTGCTCAAAGGGTCGGTCAGCGGATCATCCGAATTGAGAAATGTGACTTTATGAGCTTCCCCTTCGTCAGGACTCATCGAATCACCTGTTTCATTGATGAGGAGCTTGTAAGGAAGTTGTTCACCGCGCATGTCGCATATAACATTGGTGAGAGCCATGATATAGTTTTTGGCCAGAGTAAGGGTTTCTATCTTGGAGAGTTTTCGTTCCCTGGACACATGGGGAATAACTTCTCTGAGAGCTTGAAAAGCATCGTTCAGACTGTGCATGCGCATTCGTTCTCGTTCGTTGCTCTCTAGCCTGCGCAAATTGCGCTCACGAGCACTCAGAGTGTTTCGCTTCCGGCGACTGCTGTTGGCACCGGATTTTTTCTGCTGCTTAGACGTTTTGGCGGTGTCGTCGGAGCTTGAATCTGTCATGTCGCTTCCTTGGGAGTTGTGGTCATCTTGTTGTGCGATAGCCAGTCTTTTGGAGCCATGCATAGTGTTGGAGCTGCTTCTGCGACGGACGGTAATCTTGTTTGAATTTGGCGAGTGGGGCAGGGAAGGTTCAACAGTTGGAGTCAGTATCTCGTTATCCAACGATGGCCAAGCAACATTTGAAATGGGAGCCTGGTTGCTGTCCATGTCGTCGATGGATTTGACCATAACCTATTGTATAACATAATTTTTATAAGTATATAGCATAAAATAGAACCAACAAAAAATTATCTCAGGTAAAATCAAATATCTATTAAAATTCCAGAAATATATAGGACTTGTGACATAATGGAATTTTAACTGCTGTTTCCTTCGCTTATGAACATTATAGCGCACATGAGTCATCCACTGCCATTTACCATTTTAAAATATTGAACTGTACTTGGAAAAAAATGTAAACATGTAGAATGTGTTGAACTGTAAGAAGAAATACAATGAGGAGTAATTTACGTTAATGTTAAGCACACTTTAAAGAGACATATATTATTATAACAATTTAAATAAAATCTATTTTTAACTCTAAAAAAAAAAGTGTTTTTTTTTTTTTTTTTAAAATTTCAATGTAGATGACAAGACTAGCAACATTTAATCTTTCGCAACTTTTGTTATTTTCGAAATCAACTTAAGTACGACCTTATACTATAAAGAACTGAAAAAAAAACATTTTACTACAACATTGTATTAATAGTCATCATTTAAAGCAAAGAATTTTTGAATTTGAGAAAAATTTACGAATGGAGCACTCAAAATTTCTATAACTTAATGACAAATTTAAATTTAGAGTGAAAAAAAACCCAGGTAATTTCAATAATAAAAATTGCTCTTTTAAAACTTAAACTGTCAATTCGGTAGTAGCATTTCTGTGGGCTACAGAACGGTGATATTTTTTTACTGCAAATTTAACAGTTAATAATTCTCAAATTAATTATTGTGCGTTAATTTTTTATTAAATCATTTGATTAAATCATCTGGGCCTTTTTTCCCAACATCTCCGTAAGTTTTTTAGGTTTTATAATTTTTGAGCAGTAAAACAAAATATGACATAAAATTAAACGCCAAAATAAGAGGCGGTAGAGATTTATGATTCTTTAATCGCCTCCCTCATTATCCCGAGTTAACTCGGGTATGTATATATTGAAAATATATATTATAGCGAGTAAACTCGGGCATAGCATATTTAGTCAATACGTTTTGTTTTATCACGTTTTAATTCGGCCGGAAGCAAAACAAAAAATAATCTGCTGTGATTGCTAATATTTGTTTGGGGCTATGTGTGGAACTGCAGACGTGTTTTGTATACACGATGGCTGTTGAATTTAAATAGGAAAAAAAATGGCCTTCATGAGCGAAAGTAATGCAGATGATGAAGAAGTGAACCTATACAAAGACTCATATTGTGTTCTTTTTCCCCCTGACAATTCGGGACAGTAAACGGAGGGTAAATTAAATGTTTTTTACACATAAAAAAAATAAATTTCAACTTAGAATTAGTGTATTATGTTTTGTTTTAGTTCCTTGTATTTAATAATAAAAAAAAATATGTCGGTTTTTTGCTTCGTTTTCCAAAAAAATTGGTAAGTAAATCTAGAGAGATATATATTATTTTTAAAAAAAATATTGAATATTATTTTTAAAAGTATATAGAATAAAACAATTATTTATCTTTATTTATTTATTGTTTTTCATACCGAAAATCATTATTAAGAAATGTGATTAACAGATGGCACGCACTCTTTTTCGTATAGTTAATCTTTTCTAATTAATAATCTTTATAACTAAATATGTTAAACTTTTTTTACAAGAAAACTACATTTGTAATTTTTTTTATGCTATTTTTTTACTTTGCTGAGCAATTTGTTTAGCTAGTGTTTCGTTTAACATCTGTGAAATAAATAGCAGTCTTTAACAGGGTACGTAGCTAAATCTTTCAACTAAAAACAAGCACCTTTTAAGCACTCAAAAATATTTTTAGGCACTATAAACATTAACAAAATGCAAAATAATTTTTTAAAGATTTTACGTGATCATGATAAAATGACTCGTTTCTGACAAATAACTCTTTTCTCGATTATATGAGCCATCATAAAAAGATCGAGAGATTTTTCGGTTCGAAATATGAGGGTGGAAAATAAAGTCTGAAATTGAGAATAGTTAAGAAAATGCAGCAGAGTTACACATGAGAGTGCTAAGAATCTCAGCACAGTAAATGCACATGCGGACCCGCAAGTATTTCATCAAACATGTAAAATGATGGACGCTTTCATACGCTATGGACCGACAATAGGCCGGAATGGATTGTGAAAACATTGTATAGAAACACTATTAAAAAAAATGCTTTTGTATAATACGTGCCGAAAATCGACATGATAAAGAAGAAAGTTCTTTTTCGAAAAGGGAATATCAAGCACTTTTCAAAAACACCTGATAAAAAAAAACACCTTTAAGGGTTCTAAAAAACGAAAATTGAAAAATAAGCACCTTTAAGCACTTTTTAAAAGCTCTCTACGCACCATGTTAAATGTTCTCCCACTGTTAAATAGTAGTCTTAAATGTTCTTCCACTCTAAAATAGTATTCTTTTACTCTAAAATAGTAGTCTTATATGTTCTTCCACTCTAAAATAGTATTCTTTTACTCTAAAATAGTAGTCTTAAATGTTCTTCCACTCTAAAATAGTATTCTTTTACTCTAAAATAGTAGTCTTATATGTTCTTCCACTCTAAAATAGTATTCTTTTACTCTAAAATAGTAGTCTTAAATGTTCTTCCACTCTAAAATAGTATTCTTTTACTCTAAAATAGTAGTCTTATATGTTCTTCCACTCTAAAATAGTATTCTTTTACTCTAAAATAGTAGTCTTAAATGTTCTTCCACTCTAAAATAGTGAGTACGAAATGCATTAATTTTGTGCGAAAACTTCAATCCCGAGTGTCATATTATTCAGAAGAATAAATTTATTACGAATCTTCTAAAGAGGTGCCTGCAAACGGTTTTCAGTATAATTTCAAAAGTGGAAAAGCTTCCTAACAGATGCTTATGATTTTCTAAAAATGTTGATAGAATCGAAAAATAAAAATTTCTCCTTCCGCCGAGAATTTTTATTTCTGCGTTGAAGCAGCAAATCCAAAAAAAAAGAAAAAAAAGAAAAAGAAGAAGAAGAGCAAGAAGAGGAAATCCTATTTCGAAGGCTTTACAACTAAAACGAAACATTTCATTCTCACCGAAATATGATTGATAAATTCATTATTTAAATCACATTTTTCAGCTTTTGCATAAAGGGGATGAAGAACGTGTAAAGAACAGTCATTCATATTTTGTAATGACTGTCATGGCAGCTGTCTGGAAATTTGTAAATTAATCTGATAGAATTCTTAAGTGATCAAAATAGAAAGATTTTCGTTGAATTTAAACATTAAAAATAACCTTTTAAATAAAAGGGATAGAGGTTATTTTTAATTTTATCTTTCAAAAAAAATGTTGTCGGGACATTAGATTTATTTTGTCAATTCAATTTTCACGAATGATCGAATTAAAACTGAAATTGCGTGAGCCCGCTTTTTCTTTGTTTGATTTCGACATGAACGCCTATCGAAATAATATCTTCTGCGAATAATTTCAAACCGCTAGCAGTCAGAGTAATAAACAATTTTGGGGGTGGGGTAACGATTAAAGGTATTGTGACTATAGAAATAAATTCCCAATATAGTTCCTACAAATAAAATACTTATGCATCCAAATTATTATCTTCATGATACATTAATTTTTCTAAAGGTTCCATTTGGGTACATTAATTCTTCCTCAGGTTCGCATATTCCAAAAGTATGCGTACTAAAGATTGTGGATGCGTACTAATACTCGTAGTGAGATCGCATCAGTGGCCTCTTCAGAAATTTTACTATAAGCGATGCAGCTCTTCACATATTTTAAAAATAACATCAGTGATAATTTCTAACTTAAAAAAAAATAGTTTATTGCTGGCAATTAATTATTTAATTATTTTATATTTGCTGTGTCAGATAAATTCAATAAAGAACATGATGTGGTCATCAAATTTATACTTTTAGAGTTGTCCCTTTCTTCAATTCCTACTATTAGTTCCCTCTTGTTCACATTTTCAATCCACTCAACTTCAATGACATTTTGTTTTAAACTTGTTGTCACTTGCATGTCAATACAGTTTTTTTCAAATATTAATTCATTCATTAAATTAAATTAATTCATTTCAGTTTTAAATGGGAGAAAAATTTGTAATTATTTAAAACAAATTTAACAAAAATAAAAGTTACTAAAGAAGTGAAAGTAATAAAATTTTTCTTCGTTGATCTAAGTAAGAATTGACTTTTTTTTTTATCTTTCTTGTTTCGTAATAAATTGCTTTGAATTACTTCTGTCTTACTGAACTATCGTTCGCTGGTCAATTGCAGATGCGCAAATATGTGTAAGTAAGAGCAAGAAAGCAATTCTGAAGCTATTTCTTTTTATTTTATTTATTTTGTTTTCGATGGTCTGTTAATAATCGCGATAGATGTACCTTTGGATTTGCCAAATTTTACAACGTGAAATCGTTTTCGTCGTTTTTAATCGTACGCATTTATATTTTAATAACGTATTCACAGTCTCTGGCCATATAATTAGACGCAAACTATAACTGATAGTTAATAATTAAAATGATATCTATCAGGTGATACTGCTGTATTGTTTTCACTAAGATGAAACCGGTTTGCATTTGTTTACGCTCTTGTATCAATGCAATACATAAAAAATAAATACAAAATAAGAAGTCTATAAAAAATCTCCTGAATGAAAACCCATGTCTAAATATAAGAGCATTAACTCGTGCTAAACATGTCATTATTAAAAACACTAGAGTGCGTGTAATCATTTGGATTAATTATAATAGTATACTAATATAATGCTTGATATAATAAATAGTCTACATCTTCTCATTAATCCTATAGTCAAATTTATACTATATATATATCGTCTCATTTAACCCATGGATACAGTAACGTAAACAAGTGCAAATAGTCGCGTCAAAGCTGTATTGAGTATCATTAAGATTTTAGGTAGATTCTTAGAGTGTGTCGAATTATTTGGCCTGTATATTTACAATGTATCACACTATTCATTCAGAATAAGTTATTTAAAAACAATGATTGAAATAAGCATCGT